TGTTATTAAATATTGGAATTACCTAAGATTAACAAATGTTTAGAAGAATTTTTCATTGGCAGTTTGTTAACTAATGAATTAATTAATGTTAACTAATGAAGCCCTAATGTAAAGTGTGACCGAACAATAAAGAATCAAAACACTTTCAAACAGTGCATATTCATTATCGTGATATATCGCATTACCGAATACCGGCACACGTCTAAGTGGATGAAAACAAAAGAAAAAATGTATAACATGACCAATTAAGTTTATCATTGTTATATACTAAAGTAAATAAAACAGATTCAAATCAATATACTACTATTATAAAACAAGAGATTCGGACTCTTAATTGTATTTGAATGAGCCACATTCAAAGTTACATAGCCAATATACAAACGCCATTTGAATTCTCTATTAATGTGGCACATTGCGGCATTGTTTGGTAACTGTAAAAACAACTAGTCTTGTGCTGTACTTAATCTTGACTTATTTGGGACACATCCCACTTCCCGCTGTATGTTTCTGTATCACCCTCTCATGTAAATAGCATAAAGCAGTAATGCACACAATGTATTTACCACTGTATAAAAGATCCAGAAAAATCTATACCGCCACACGTTGTATTATACCATCATATCACCGTGCCCTAGAAAGCGAGAACGGATGGGATGGGAATGATGACGTAGTTGGTTGGTTGAGCTAATGCTAGCTGTTCACGCTAGCTTCTGAGAGAATCCACCCTAAAGGTGCTTCTCAGAAGAGCCACTTCAAATCAATTATTGAAAATTGAGGCTTTTAGTGTCTCAGCCAGACAGCTTCTCAGAGCTGGAAGCTGTCAGGTGAGCTGAGCTGAAGTGACAGAACAGGCGGTGTGCTACAGCACGCATGTTGTTGTCGTGCTTGTTCCTGTGATTGCGTCTCTGTAGATCGTGCGTCCTGCGGGTCCGCGCCGGGATGAAACATGAGCTCATTCGAGGGGCTCCCACAACGTGACAGTCAGTGCAGAGTAACGCCATCTGAGAGCCAGAGCCACGCTGCCAGACTGTCTGCTCAGACAAACACAGCCATCTGGAAGATCTCCACTGTAGCCGAAAAACATACTCTGTCAACAATACCTTCATTACGAATGATAACAGCACAATGTGATTTGAGTACTCCTCTTCAGAAGTTTTGCTTTGAATGGCATGATCATCTAGAGTGCACTTCTGTTGTCTTTGGTAGGAGCGCCGTGTGTGCGTTTTGCATCAATGATATTATGTTTTTCAGCCCTGGAATTTGGAAAAAAAAAATCGTGCAAATATTAAATTGATTCAATAGGTGATTAAGATGAATAATATTCATATTAATAATTTAAGATGTATTATATAATGTAGTGTTATAATAATTATGTATTTAATAATATATATATACACACAAATTTGGTTATTTAGTTTAATATGTACTATTGTTAAAAAATTTGAGGTCGGTTTGATTTTTTTAATGTTTTAATGTCTCTTCCGCTCAAGCATTTATTTGATTTAAAAAAAAACAATAAAAGCAGGAATATTGTGAACTATTATTACAATTCAAAATAATTGTTTACTGTTGCTATATATTTTAAAATATAATTTATTTCTGTGATGCAAAGCTGAATTTTCAGCATCATTACTCCAGTCTTAAGTGTCACACGATCCTTCAGAAATCATTCTTATATGCTGATTTGATACTCAAGAAACATTTATTATAATGATCAATATTGAAAACCATTGTACTACTTGATATTTTTGTAGAAACCTTTTAAGTATTATTTAATGAATATAAAGTTTAAACAAATAGCATTAATCTGAAATGTATATCTTGTAAGATTTGGTTGATTAACAGAAGTGGGTCATGTTTCTTTTTCAAATATTCTGTAATATAAATGTTTATTTACATTCTGCATGTTTTGCTATCATTAAATTGTATTATATTTATTAGCCATGCACTACCCTGCTCTCTAAATATTCACCATCCACCATTGAAAAACGCTTATTATTTGATTAATGCCTGATTTATGAAACCAATAATTTTCTAAACCCATATCCACCTTTTCTAGATGGACAAATCAGTCACTTTGTACGTGTTATACAGAATTCTGAAGTACTCAGACTCCACAATCTTCTCTTGCAGGAGGCCTTTTTTGGGAAAGACCTGCTGGATAAGAGCAAACAGAGCAGACAGGAAACCACACGGCTGCTAGAGGATGAGCGAGACAGGAAACAGCTCCCGGCCAATCAGATGAAGCCATTGTCATACGCATCACTCAGTGCGTCAGTGGCACCGCTGGCCAGGAAAGCAGTAGCAGCACGTACGTTTCTCACGCTACTGGTGCTTACACACACACACACACACACACACAAACACACACGGTCTGTCTCAGCTTTTTTGTCTCTTTCTTTTTTGTCTTTTTTTCCATATGACCTTCATACTCAGTCTGATTTATACATTTATTTCTCTTAAAGTCAACATGAAATTTAAATAGACTGCATTTACTTGCTTTACACACATTCCTGGTCTTGCAGAGTCACTCAGAAATGTCCCCTTATGAAAAGTGAAATGGGTTGCAAATGCAATTTCATGTTGTCTTTAAATTTGTCTGCACAATTTAGAACACAACACATTCCTGGTCTTGCAGAGTCACTCAGAAATGTCCCCTTATGGAAAGTGAAATGGGTTGCAAATGCAATTTCATGTTGTCTTTAAATTTGTCTGCACAATTTAGAACACTTTCTTAGAGGACAATCATTAGGCCCTTATAATCACTTTCCTGCTTTATCCGCATCCACAGAGAATTCTGTGGAGCCTCTAGTGGACCTGTCCGAAGAGCTGAAATCAGACACAGAGCTGCTGGGAATGTTTTCTAATACCAGGCAAACTGAGGAGTCCGGTAGGCCTTTATGAGTGTCTCTAAACATGAGAAATAACAGCACATGTTTGCTGTTCAGATGAGCCCTTTCCGTGGGCTCCAGCTCTCTAGTTCTACTATTATCATTGTTGGGGAACATAAACTTCATGAGGTACAAACATAGTTAAACTACAGTAAGGCCTCCCATTTCAATAAGTAGTGTAGCTTTTAACTACACTGACAATTGTAAGTGTGGATTCACTTGACTGGATTTGTTTCTCACAATTTTGAAAAAACATTGATATGAAGCGTGTGCTTAGATGATAGATATAAGTTATGCTTATCACTGAATGTTCATATAAAACTTAAAATGTAACAAGTAACACACGCAGTTAATAAAATCCACACGGGTAATTGTTTTTGCTGTCGTTAACACATTTAGTCAATTTGACATTTATAACATTTTAATTTTCTCTGTGTGAATTTGAAAAGCTAAAAACATTCAGAGTTGATTGGAACTGATCGGAGTCCCCAGTATGCATGTCTTAGTAAATGGAGAAAGACTTCTGTCTAAGACTGTCTAATTTATTCATCAATCAAACCCAGATGGGGCGTTTAACAAAAATCATTTGCATTCTTTCTATGGCGAAAAGTAATTATCAAAAACAAGTGAAACATCACCCATCAATGAAATAATGTCATTCGTAGAAATGTTAATGCAAACATATCGGCGGCAAAAATAACTTTTCATATGTAAAAGTTTGCCCATAAAGTCTGTGAAAATTGTTTTATTCCATTATTGCACAATTTGCGTTTTCACTCATATTTCCTGTAAACTTATTGCAGTTTGAATGTTATTTGTATGCAAGGATACAGTTTATTTTGCCATAATAACTGTCTTACTGTACATTATACCGCAGAATACTTGGCTACTGAATTGAATGAAATATTGACACATGAGAGACATGAAAGTAGTGTGAAGTAGATTTTTTGCTTTTGAGTTCAAGTCATTCAAGTCACCTTTATTTATATAGCGCTTTATACAATACAGATTGTTTCAAAGTAGTGCTGTCAAACGATTAATCGCATCCAAAATAAAAGTTTTTGTTTTGTGTACTGTGTATATGTATTATGTATATATAAATATTCACACATGCAGTATATATTTTGAAAATATTTACATGTATGTATTCATATTCCTATAGATTTAATATGTAAACATAATATTTTTCTTAAATATATACATGCATGTGTGTGTATTTATATATACATTACAAATATGCACAGTACACACACGTTATGTAAAAAAACGTTTATTTTGGATACGATTAATCGTTTGACAGCGCTATTTCAAAGCAACTTTAAATTGAACAAGAAAATAGTGATTCAGTGATACAAACAAAATTCAATTCTGTTGTAAAGCAGCTCTAAAAAGACAATAGTAAACAGTCATTATTCAGTTGAAATCAGTTCATTGTTGATGCACACAAATTTCCACACCTAATAATTACACATATTAATTAGCTTTTTCTTGAAAATAGATGAATAAATAGCTTAATGTCTAAATATTTAATTATCTATAAGAGATGGTCTTGATTGTCTTTTCATTATATTACTTTCTTGGGCATTTCCATATTTTTCATTCTTAACTCATTTTATTTTACATTGTGTATGAATCATCTGTACAATATTTCTTTCTCTCTTCATGGTGCTGATCCCTCATTGTGTTTGGTTTGGATCTTTGTAGGTCTTGATTTTTGCCCTTTCCAAGTTGAGTACTCTCCTTCATCATTTGGTAAGAGCTCATGATCATGTTTAAGTTACTTGCTTTTTCTGGGATTTTATGGGAACGTTTGTTTTACTTTTCCATTTTTGACATATCACCCACAATGCACACTGCACCTGAATCCAAACATTATGCACCATGCAGTCCAATTAGTTTACATTACCTAGCATATCGAGAATGATCCAGCAATGCAGCGCTGGGCTAACCGTTGTAGTCAAGGACGTTGCTCTTATACCAGCACAGAACTGAGATGTTTTAGAGACAGGCGTTTCAGAAAACCGAAGGCGTAGATGAATGACTGTCCTCCCGTGAGCGGCAGTCAGGGCCTCTACTTGAATGGATGAGTGAAGAATAGGGGCACTGCTCCAGCGACATCCACTGAGTCCTTGGTTTGATGAAAAGGAACCAACCCTAGTAATTTGTGAAAGATGTCGAGCTCATCCCTGCTGTAAAAGCAGCCTTGGAAGGCGAGGCAGTCTGACCTCCCTCAGAACACATAGTAGTATTTCTATTTGAATTATTTGCTGCACAGGTTATTTATTCAGTTTTGTCCATGTCAGATATGACTCATATAACAAGATCCACAACCTGCTCTAGTCTGGTTTTTGCTTTTTAGTTTTAGTTCAATGTTAAAGGGATAGTTCGGCCAAAAATTTTAATTGTGTCATCATATACTCACCCTCATGTTGTTCCAAATCTGTATGACTTGCTTATGCAGAACACGATATTCTGAAGAATATTTAAACCGCTTTGTCTGTAAAAATGACTGTCTGTCCCCAATTGGGGACCCCATTGACTTTCGTTTGTGATCCACAAACGAAACAAACAAAAGAGAGCTATACAGATCTGAAACACAGTGAGAGTGAATTAAAGAATAAAAATGCCAGTTTTTAACCCTTTCCCTGCCAGCATATTGAAGAAGAAAAAAAATGCCAGCCACTGTCAGCATTTTTGATCATTTTCAGAAAATTTTCAAGGCCGCCAGAATATTTTGTTGTATGAGCATGCAGTATGTCAAAAGAAAAAAGGGCCTCTGCTTTTTTAAATGTTTTAATTCTAGCTATATACCTTTTATCAACACTTGAATGTTGGTAAGTTTCTTTTTTCTTTTTCTTTTTTTAAAGCAACATTTTGAACAAAAAGCTGGGAAAATCGCGTTTTTGTAAAAGACTGCATCTGGATCAGATTCAGAATGATGATCAAAACATAGATGGAGTAGATTGAGTCCATCATCACATCCAAAGCTTGCACGGTTCAAAACCACTTCCCGGATCGACATTTCATTCAGTAACGTTAGGCAGTTTTGATTTACATGCTGTTTAATGCTTTACGATCAAGTTATTTTACATATGCATCTGCTTACATATGCAATCGCTTGTTTCTGATTTTTCACCGTATTTTAGTCCAAACATTCAGTACTCAGAAGATGTGTAATAACGCCTTGTACCGTATAATAGTGAAAACACAGAAAGACACAAAATTCTGTCAGTGGCAGGGAAAGTGTTAAAGATCACCCATGACTAACCCAATTTCAGGACACATGGTCCACGGTTTGCAATTTTAGTTTGTTGTGATGGATGTGACATTATTTGTGTTTTTGTGTATATGTTTGTATAGGTCTGGATGTTGCTCCTTTTACAGAAGACGCATCTGTTTCATCTCAAACTCATCTGGGCCGAACTCACCCACGTCAGGTGCCCGAGGAGCCACTGGATGGCATTCTCAGCCCTGAACTGGACAAGATGGTCACTGATGGTCTGTATATCACATATGTATGCATTGTTGAATAGTAATACTTGTTACTGAAACATCTAAATGTGAACACTGAATCTTTCTGCCTTACAGAATCAATACTCGGCAGACTCTACAAAATACCAGGTAGGTTATAAACTCAAAGCACCAACTGCCAGTGAAACTCGTTCATTCGATATGTTGTAAGTATTGACCCATTCCTTGCAGAGCTTGGTGGGAAGGATGTGGAGGATCTCTTCACAGCTGTCCTGAGCCCCAGCACCAGCCAACCTCCTCAGATGCCTCAACAGATCCAGGGAGCTCAAACCCTGCAAGGTCCCGCAGGCCCTGGTTTACATCCCTCCCAACCTATCTCAGGTTTGTTTAGGAAAATAAGGAATGTTTCAGTGATATGATTAAGACTCTAATTTAGCAGTTGTCTTTTGATAGTAACATTTGTATGATGTCTGACATATTTTCCATGTTAAAATACTCCCATGCCGGTTTTAATGCACAACTGTACGTGTAGCATTCATAGGTTTACTTCCAAAAGAGTGTGGCACTATCGAAACAATTCTGAGCGTCTCTACCAAGGGTGGGTTTCCCAAAAGCATAGTTAGCCAACTGTGGTTGCGAGCTCCATCGTTACCAGCATAGTTCAGTGATTCAGTGATTCCTGAATCCATATTTCCAACAAATATTCACAAGCCGCATCGGAAAGTTGTGGTTGGAACTACAGCCATTGACCTGTGGTTGGAAGCATAGTTCTTGTTTGTATTACATGTGGACATAGCTCATGCTATTGAGCAAACTAAACAAGCAAACATGCAGTACAATCAGAATATATCTTTCATTTGTTATATATACAAATTACATTCTATGTCTTTTAGTTTGTCAAAAGAATAAAAGCAGTGTGAAGAGTGATGTAATAGGAATCCTACGACTGAATCAAACATCTGAAAATAAAGCAAAACCAGGAAGAACAAAAATAGTGAAATAGTCTTGAATTGATTGATTATGAAAAATTTGTACTCAGCTACCTGCATGACATCGTTAAAGAAGTCTATATTGTTGAACCAGCATGATTTGGGGAGTTTTGCTTGAGACTTTCTGTTTGGCCAGTGACAGACAGTGGCGACGTTCAAGAAACCTGTGTTGACATTATTATTGTAATTCGGTGTTGATGGTATTTGTACATTTGCACATTCTTCAAAAATCACACATTTCACCTTTCCGGAATGTTCTGGGTTTTGTAAAAGCTCAGTCGATGGCGTCTGTGGCATTTTGACTCATCCCTTAAGTGCATTACTGTAAACACTTTTTTGTTTGTTTTTACAAAATGAGGTCTTTCGTTCTCAGGTGAATCAAACTGAATTACATTCACTGTGATTGCTGTATGCACCGTTGCTCAGTTGTATTGGTATGTTTTTGTACAGGAATGTCTTCACGAATGCCAGTGACGAACGGTTTGATGGAACCCAAACAGCAGTTTTCACAGTCCCAAATTGCTCCTGGAGCAGGGCCTGATATGGCTCGAACTGTATGCACCGTTGCTCAGTTGTATTGGTATGTTTTTGTACAGGAATGTCTTCACGAATGCCAGTGACGAACGGTTTGATGGAACCCAAACAGCAGTTTTCACAGTCCCAAATTGCTCCTGGAGCAGGGCCTGATATGGCTCCAAATATCCCATCAATGCAGCGCATGCCTTTCTCAGACAATCTTAGGTCAGCCTTGATATTTCTTCATACATATGCACACTCACATCTAAATTACAATATTGATTAAAAAATAAATGAACAGACTACATTTATGTTAGTCTCCTCTTGTTCAGTAGGTGTAAATGTTGCGGCACAGTTTGATTAAATCAGTATTTCTAGATGACATTTATTATATCTGCTGCACAGGGACAGGAAGTTCAATCTGATAGCGCAGGAGACTGCTGGTCCGTGGTCCGCTACAGGCTCAGCTTCGGCCTCTGCTCCAGCCGCTGCCTCTGAGGTGGAGGGAGACTCCATGTCCACCGCACAGAAAAGCACTCTGAAGTGGGAGAAAGAAGAAACGCTCGGAGAACTTGCCACTGTCGCACCGGTCCTGTACACTAATGTCAACTTCCCGAACCTCAAGGAGGAATATCCAGGTCAGCTAAGGGATTTAAAAATGATCTGTCATATACAGCTTTGAAAATCAATAAAGTACTATATGTTACAATCAACACGACGGAACCCATTTTACTATAGTATGAAATAGGGATGTCCCGATCAGGTTTTTTGCCCTCGATCCGATCTGATCCGAGTCATTGAATATTGAATATCTGCCAATACTGAGTCCTGATCCGATACTTCCTAGTGTGTCCTATTCCTTGTGTTCCTAGTAGTTATTAAAACCAATCCAATGTATACAGAGTTATGCAGAGAGTAAAAGTTATATAGTGTGTGTGTATACATATATAAGATACACTCTCTCTATGTATATATTTGCACATACTGTATAAAGACATTGATTGAACATGGGACTTCTGATGTAAACTTCTTGTATTTTATGCATACAATAAGCATAATAATTGCAACATAAAGATAAAAAAGTGGAGATATGGTTAGAAAGCATGAAACTCACTGTGTCAGAAAGGCGGTCTGTCAGTCAAATCGGAAGCAAGACGCAACCCATAGCAACACGTTATGGTAACGACGTTTTAGATAGTCTGACCGCAGATAAAAGTAAATGATAAATGATTATGTGATCGTTGCAAAAGTGCGCATCAAATGCATTGAACACAGAAGCTCAAACATGTGTGACAAGCTAGAACAGGCCTCACTGGTTTCTTCTTCTTTTGGTTTTAATGATGGCTGAACACATGCATACGAGTGTCGACATAATACACGTACTGCACGTCACTGGCATGACAGCAAAAAATGAATGATCGGCCCCGATCCCGATCCTTGAGATCTGCACGGGACATCCCTAGTATGAAATCTAACATTTTATATATTAATGCAATTAAGAAAGTTAATATGGTATATTTAGATTTACATGTTGACCTTAATGGACACAATCTCTTCTTAATATCCCTCAATGTTATACTTCTAATAGATACTTTTATTTTTATGTTATAACCTTACAGACTGGTCAACACGAGTAAAACAAATTGCAAAACTCTGGAGAAAAGCAAGTTCACAGGACCGGGCTCCATATGTGGTAAGTTACACAGTATCTGCTGCAATTTTCCTGGTGAATAACATGGCTATGCTGGTCTACCCGTTCTATCAGGCCACCACTAAACAGAATAAACCAGCTTAAGCCCTATTCGGGTTTTACTACAAATAAATAAAAAAAATTAAATTGTTAAACTAAAGTAACCACACATTAACCATGGTTTTGCTATACTAGCCATATAACTTCACTGGCATTTGTAGTAAAACTGTGGTTATACTATGGTAATCAATCCGAATTACTATACGCAATGCACGCATACAGAGCCCGTGATCTCTGCGACGCCCAGATGTACAAAACAGACCCTCCCGCCTCTATAATAAACATGGAGATGTTAGTCTCGTCCGAATTGGTACATGAAAATCACAGACGTCAGGTAATAAGAATCAAAACTCAAACGTAGTTTAGAAAACTAGTCCCGTCCGAATAGTGCTTTAGAATTTATTTCAGCAGGATATAGGGACCCTTGAGTGTTGGTCAAAGTCAAAAGAATAAATTGGACCCAAGGAGCTCATTACGGTCTAAGAGATAAATACATTTCAAAAGATATGATTAAAGGGAACATTACCTTGACGTGAAAGAGTGCCACTTAAAATAAAAATGCTTTTAGACAATTAGTCTAAAAACCATGTAATTTTAGCAAATTTATGCAACCTTTGAATTTCAATGGTCTTTCTTTGATATCAACACTGCACAACCACTCTACCATTCACAGCAAAAGGCCAGAGATAACAGGGCAGCCCTGCGCATGAACAAAGTTCAGATGTCCAACGAGACCATTAAGCGGCAGCCGCCTCAGCCAGAGCAGCCTTTAGAAGTGTTTGATCCTGCTATTCCACCACTGGACCCGGAATTACTGTTCAAAGATCCACTGAAGCACAAGGAATCAGAGCATGAACAAGAATGGAAGTATAGACAGGTAAGTCCTCTATAGACATTTGTTTGGAAAAGAGATAAATTACTTATTGACAGCCAGAAATGTTTTGGTTTTGTCAAATAAATGATATAAATGACATTTCTATGTCTTTGACTTGTCCGATTTGTAAAACTGAGACACAAGTTTTATTTTTCAATGAGAATTATTTTAATGCATGTTTGGTCTGGTGGTGGACAAATAAGTTTGCAGAATAATAGAAGTTACGTTAAAAACAATAAACGTGTAACAAATGTGTCACAACTAGGGCTGTGACGGTATGGGATTTTTTCTTACCGTTGTGTTGAAGCAACAAATCACACGGTTTGGCGGTTTATCGCACCTACCCCCCCGCCACGGACTTTTGATAAAGAATGCATGCAGCTTGTAAATGAACATAGTAATGAATAATAATAAAGTAGTCTTCTTTATTATTAAAACAGCAAATTATATTAACAATATTAACATAAAATAATATTTATTTCTATAACTTTGTTGTTTTTTCGATATCTTTTGAGTTTAATAGGAATTATGGAACAGTCTTTGTCATTGTTTGTAACCCATTCTTTGTACAATAAATTATTAAAAGAATAACAACCTGAGAAAGCTGCAGAAAGAACAAGCCGAGCTCAACATGCCCCAACATTGCTTAGTTCTGGTGAGTTGTGCTAAACTTCGATTCCTATTTCTTTAGACATTGTTTTTCGGGTAACAGTCCGTGGATATAAACGCACTCATCCAAACGCAACTTGTTAAAACTTTGAATAATATTATTTAACTATTAATTAGGCTACATTTATAATAACAACCTTTTTTTTAAGTGCAACATAAAAGAGGCTTTTTTTCTGATTTGGGTTTTGCAACATAAAAAGGGAACATCAGGCTGTAGTCTGTACATGGTTATATTCCGTATCCGCACCCACCCGCTCCCGCTATATATTCACTCTTTGTTCACCCGCTGTCCGCTTAGAATAATTTTCTTCCTGACCCGACCGTTCGCACTAAATGTAGATCTCGTTTCCAGAATCTAACATTTAAATTTCCACTACTGAAAGAGAGAGAGAGATAACAAATAAAAATGTAGTCTGCACAAAAAATTTATTTATTTTTTTCGTCATGTCCAGAATCAAATTAGTTTTACATTTTGCTGTCAACACAATAGGAAAAAGTGTTGCAGAGAAAAAATATAAAAAATGTAAGTTGTACAAAAAAAAAAAGCTTATTTGTTATTTTTATTCGTCTTGTCAAAATACAAAATTCGTTTAAAGGGGTCATATGATGCGATTTAAATTTTTCCTTTCTCTTTGGAGTGTTACAAGCTCTTGGTGCATAAAGAAGATCTGTAAAGTTGCAAAGACTAAAGTCTCAAATCCAAAGAGATATTCTTTATAAAAGTTGAGTCAACCACGCCTACCTAAAACGGCTCGTTCTAACACGCCCCCACATACCTACATCACTATGTGGGAAGATTTGCATAACAACGCCCAAATGTTCACGCAAAGAAAGAAGACGTAACTTTTATTCTCGCTGTAGTATTGTTGACGCTGCAGCCATGTCGTGAAGACGCTGTGTGCTTCGTTGTGAAAGCGAAACTACTTTATTTGGCCTTCCAAAAGAGGACGATATCCGCTTCGTCATCCCTAGAGCTGATCCGTGCTGGTCGCTGAGGAAATACATCAACTTAGTGCTGTGGATTGCCGGATCGGCCCTCACCGTTTTCAACGCTCCTTCGCCGGGACCGCCGTTCTCGACCCCGCCGCCTCAGCTCACTCTTGCCCGGCTTCAGCTCACGCTAAGCCGGGGCTTTCGCTCACGCTAGGCCGCTGGTGTTTTTCGTTGTGAAAGCGAAACTACTTTGTTTGGTCTTCCAAAAGAGGACACGACTACAAATCAGTGATTAAGTTGTATTTACAACACTGTTCCAGAACACTTCAACCCAAATATTCAGATGTGTGCAGCACATTTTATGGAGGACTGTTTACTGATCCTGGGAGAGTAACGTTAGACTAAAATGCCGGCAGTTCTGACTCACGTAAGTACGTTTTCATTTAAAGGATTTGCCACTGATGATTCAAACGCGAGTTTTGAGCAGTGTAGAGTAGCACTTGTTGTTCGTAATTTCTCCAATCACAAATGCAGACAGACGCGTTTCAGAAAGGCGGGGCATAGAGGAGAAACAATAATGTACAGTATGTGGAAAATAATGTGTTTTTTGAACCTTAAACCGCATAAACACATTTCATTACACCAAATACACAAAATAATGTTCTTTTTAGCAACATCATATGACCCCTTTAACATTTTGCTGTCAACACAGTAGGAAAAGTGTAATTTAAAATTATAAGCAAAATATGAACAAAACCGTTGGCTTGTAGTCATTGCGAAATGAAATCACTTTTTAACCAAACAATTTAACATCCCTGAGAAGACTTGCCTGACGTGGGTTTCTCTGCCTGGCGCGTGCATAACAGTCCTGAGCGCAGTCTGTACCGGTGGTCGATAAGAGTGAGTAAAGCGCATATATGCTGTTCTGAAAGGACGTCGGGAATGGGATATTGTTAGACCGCCCGCTCCCGTTCAAATTACACCAGAGTTACCGACTGCTACCGTGTTTTATTCGGGAATTTAATCCCGCGTCACAAGAAATCTGGTCATGTCCCGCGGGAATGCAGACCTCTAGCTTCCTCCTGCAAATACCTTGCAAAAAAAGTGCGGTGATGACGGTTATGACCTCAACACCGCGGTCGGCATCTCATTACCGCGGTAATGCGGTTATCGTCACAGCCCTAGTCACAACTGCATTTTGTGCTACAGTTTTTAATGTTTGCATGAGCAGCCTTCAAAATAAACTCTACTAAAGCATATTTCTTTACTTGAGAGGGCGGAAAGGAATATGAAAAATGTTTGAAATGTGACATTTTCTTCATGCATAAACTCAGACATCTTAGGAACTTCTCAGAACTTTAAATGAATTACATCTGTGTGTTCCCTTTTGCCAAGAATTAATTAAGCTTGTCAAAAGACAGAAAAATAGTTTTAAACTCTAAAATAAAGAATTTATATTTATGTTAGCTTAATGTATTACTATTCAATTAATTTAATTGCAATTGTAATAGATTATGTAATTAAAATAAATCACACATGGTACATTTTCTTATTATTTAATAATTATTATATTTTTTTTCACTTACTGTTGAAGCAAATGAGACAGAAAAGTAGGCAGCAAGCTAAGATCGAAGCTACACAGAAACTTGAGCAGGTGAAGAATGAACAACTTCAGCAGCAGCAGCAACAACTTCCATCAATCAGCCAATCTGAGCATGACTCTTCTGGTCACCTGAATAGTCCAGTATCTGTGCACTCCAACAGTGGGAACATGTCTCCCAAGCAGCCCAGTTCATCAAAGTCACAGCTGCCCGGCACGCCGACATCGTGTTCCCCAGATGACGTCTTTTTGCGCCCTCATCCACCACCCCCATCTTCAGGATCTCAGCCACAGAGCCCTCAGATGTTTTCCCCAAGCTCCTCTGGCTCCAGACCATCCTCACCCTGGGATCCCTACACCAAAATGGTAGGCACACCCAGACCACCGCCTACTGGGCAGGGAACTCCACGCCGTAACTCGGAATCAGGGAAATCTCCCAGAGGTCTTTCAGAGCCAATTGGCTCTCCAACAGCCATATGTAATGACCCCTATGCCAAGCCCCCAGGCACCCCAAGGCCAACAGGAGCTACAGACCCTTTTCTCAAACCTATGTGCCCTCCCAGAGCAAGTCAGACAGTGGAAGGGAGGCATCTTATTGGCTCCCCAAGCCATGATCCATTCTCTAGGGTGTCTGTGAGAAAGGAAGCCTACCAGAGGATGCCCCAGGGCAGGATGATACTCTCAGACCCATATGCTCGTCCTTTACTCACTCCTATCCCAGGCAGCAATGAATCAGGGTCCATCCAGGTCTTTAAAACCCCTATGCCACCCCCTCAGGCTCAGGAACAATATGCAGAAATGCATGCACGGAGAGCAAGTGGGGATCCCTTCGAAAGACCAATGATGCCCCCTCGTTCTTCTGAATCATTTCCCCAGAATCAACAGAACGATCCTTATGCACAGCCTCCGCTCACTCCTCGTCCTGCAGTAGGTGACGGCTATGCAAATCAGAGGCTTTCACGACAGCCCCAAACCCTCCCTTTTTCTCAGCCTGGGCCAATGGCACGCCAGCCTTCCTGTAACCCATATGCTCGAGCCCCTTCCACCCCTCGGCCAGACTATTCCCAGTGTGATCCCTATGGACAACAGTCTGCTACACCAAGACCTTCGAGTGACCCTTTTGCCCCATCTCTATCGTTTTCTAACCCATACGCTAGAATGCCAGGCACACCTAGACCACATGACCCTGAACCCTACTCTCAGCAGCCTGCATCTCGTCATCCGGTCATGATGAATCAACCCTCTCAGCAGCAGACTCAAAACCGCATAATGTCCCCTATGTCAATGGACCCTTACGCTCAACCCCCTGGGACCCCACGCCCAGGAATGGCAGACCGGTTCCCCAAGTCTCCAAGTCACCAAAGGACTCCTGATCCTTTTAGTCAACCCCCCGGACTGCCACGCCCTGTAGTGCCTGATCCTCACGCACAGTCATTGGGAAGGTCCCAGTCATTACCTAATGATGCATGTGCACATCCCTCACGAACACCTCATCCTGGAGGAGTCGGACAGGGATTGGTACCTGGGCCCATGGCCAATCAAGATCCATTCTTTCCTCCTCAAGTCTTGATGCAAAACTCTTTTGCCAGTCCAACAAAACATGGACCTCAGACCCTTAAACATCTGGGCATGACAGATGAAACCTTATCTCAGCCAATATCCAGTCGACCCAATCAGACTCTCATCCATGACCCTTTTGAGCAGGCCCCCATGCTTCCACATCCTCAATGTGGAGAAAATAAAGAACAACAAGGTTTGGTACATAGTAGGAGTTCCCACCCCATGGGCCAGCCCAGCACTGAAGCTCAAACAGTACCTCTTGCTGAAGCTGAGGAAAGACTCAGACAGGTGTGGTTTTATTTCATTGCTACTCTATTTAAGAAGTGCACTGTATTAGTTACAATATATAACTTGTACAACGCTAATTAACACAATGTTAATTTGTTTACAGCGTCAGCGTATTCGAGAGCTGATCCTCAAACAGCAACAGCAGAAGAGTGCCATACGTCAAGATAAGGGTGAACAGGATCATCCTCTGACCATGCCTCCAGGAACCCCTCAACATTGGAGTCTGGAGTCTACAGGCCAACAGAGTGAAATTTTTAATCGCCCACCACCACCATATCCTGGTCCAGGAGCTGTGAGAGCCCCTCAGAGATTCCATGGGCCATTCCCAGGAGATCAACAGGGGCATTTCCCTGAAGGCCAGTTTCCTATACCACAGTTTCCTGCGGATGCTGACTCAAATATAAGGCAGCTTGGGCCAAGGTGGGTGAATTTATATACCTTAAAACATTTGTATGAAATGTAGGGACTAATGTTATTCAAAAACACTGCAAATATTATGTTCTTTTGTTGATTTTAGGATGCCCCTCACTCCTAATGTCCAAGGTCCTATAGCAGCTCCAAGACCACATCAGATGCACGACCCAATAATTGAAGCTCATCCACATATGAGAAGATCCATGTCTATGGACTTGGGGAAATCAATAGGAGGCAACCCCTTAGTAACCCCACATTTACCTCCTCGTGGCATGCATGTGCAACAGCACAACATCATGGGGCAGCCTTTCATAGAACTGAGACACAGAGTGCCAGATAGCAGACTTCGGCTTCCCTTTGGAGCTCCTACTATGCAGGGAAATCGAATGGAATTGCCCTCACAGCAACGACCCCCAGGTTTCATGGGTGGCCAAGAAATTGGATTTCCCTTCAATCAAGTTCCAAAGCCAATGGACACAACAATTAATCAGTCTCAGGTAGCTAATACACAGATGCAGGCATCTCTCAGCTTGGGGAATTTACAACAAGCCAATATTCCATTGAGAGCTGGACATCCACAAATCCCCCTGACGAGGTCTATAAGTCAACCTGCTTCCAGTGAGACTCTCAGTGCTCCCTTACTCACAAGTATTGCTGCTACATCTGCTGTCCAAAACATTGAGGTCCCTTTATCCACAAATGAAGTACCTGAGGAGAAAATCGATACTGATGAATCTGCTGTGAAGGACCTTGAAGATGTTGAGGTGAAGGACCTTGTGGATGCCGATTTAGAGAACTTAAATCTCGATCCAGATGATGGAAAGGACTTAGATCTTGAAACGAATGACCTGCATCTAGTTGACTTCTTAACATCTGGGAAATTTGATATAATTGCCTATGCTGATGCTGATTTAGATCTTAGTGAGGACCTGGATCTCAGTGATCCAATAGAAGACCACACTGAGACGTATGATTTCCAAAAGACAAAAGCTGAGAAAAAGACTGATAGTTTTGATGGCTCATCATCATCATGCTCGACATCAACAGCGAAGGATGTAGTAGACAAAACTGCTCAGTCTCAAGGTCACATCAGTCCAGACGTTCCTCAGGATCAGGTGTTGGTTTCCTTGAAAACAGAGGAGGATAGCAAAAATGGAATTAAAGATTGCTTGTCCCGAGACACATCTTGTAAGAATCAAGTAAATTATAGTGCTGCCATTAATCAAGCTGGCTTTGAAAGTGATATTGATGCCAGTTTACAGGCTCCAAAGTCTGGAATTCACCCCGATGCTACTCCAGTGCTTTCAAGCATGCTGGTCAATGTACCACCAGAAGGTGAATCACAGAAGCAGGAACACTCATCAGCACAAGGCAACCCACCAAGTCAGGAAGCTACAGTGTCACTCAGTAGCACTATGCTGGGGCAAGGAAACTTCTCAGTGCAGGGGATGGATACTGGCCTCAGTATTGACCAATCGTTGGTGTCTTCTCATGGTGAAAGCACATTAGAAGTCCCAGGCTCCATTCAGGAACAACAACAAAGCCATATTTTTGGTATGGATCAAAAGGATGCTGTACTCTCAGGGGAACAACACAGTATTCTTGCTCAACAGGCAATGCTGTCACAGCAAGGCAATCAGAACAGACCACTGCTTCTGGAGGAGCAACCACTCCTTCTCCAAGACCTCCTGGATCAGGAGAGACAGGAGCAGCAGCAGCAGAAGCAAATGCAAGCTATGATAAGACAGCATCCCAGTGATTCATTCTTCCCCAACATAGGTAAGGGGTAGCTAATATAACAAGATCTAATTCTGTTCTTCCTTGATTCGAGATTAGGCCTTTCTCTGTTTTGCATGTGGCAAAATGTGTACTTGACTATAATTTACTTAAATTTGCATACTTTTCCATTGATTTATTCAGATTTTGATGCTATCACAGACCCCATAATGAAAGCAAAGATGGTTGCATTGAAAGGAATCAATAAAATGGTGGTCCAGAACAACATGGGAATGTCTCCTATGGTCATGAACAAGTGAGTTAATGGTCTCGTTTATTAGACTGAAATGTTATTAGATTTATTTTAGTGTATGAGCTTTTTCATTAATGGCTTTTCCTTTACTCTCCTCTTCACAAAATCTCAATTAGTGTCCAGACAGGGCAGGAGCTACCAGGCCCTGATGGAGGTATAACTCCAGTGCAGTTGGCTGGACAGGTGAGACTCTTCAGATTTCTTCTTATCAGCAGGCACACATGGAATCTGAGTGTAGACTTGTGCCAGTATTCGGTAATGCGATATATCACGGTAATGAATATGCACGATATTGTTATTGTGGGCACTTCTAAATACCGTGAATAATTATATATTACAAATTATTCAGAATTTTTAATGCATTTTAAGAATACTTTTCCCATAAACTGGTCAAAATGCACAACACTGCTGTATGCTGCATGAAAGACGTGTGCACACTCTGAGTAAACAAGAAGCACATGGCGGAACATGTGAGAGACGCTCTGGATGAAAGCGCACTTTCACCCTCTGACAGCAGATGGTGCTAAACTGCAGAAATAATAATAATAATAATAATAAT